AAAGATGGCTAAGAAGCTTCTTAAAAGATGTTCACTACCCGGGCTTGGTGGTGCATGCCTTCAATCCCAGCACTTGGAAGGCAGAGGCAGGTGGATCTCTGTGAGTTCAAGGCCAGCCTGGTCTACATAGTGAGTTCCAGGACAGCTGGGGCTACAGGGAGAGCCTGTCTCAAAGAAACCAAAAAAAAAAAAAAGTTCACCATCACTAATAATTAGGGAAATGCAAATTAAAACCACTTTAAGATTTCATCTTACCCCTGTCAGACTGGCTAAGATCAAGAGAACAAATTATACCAAGTGTTGGAGAGGACATGAGGAAAGGGGAACACTCATCCACTGCTGGTGGGGCTGCAAACTGGTTCAGCCCCTATGGAAAGCAGTGTGGAGAACTCTTAAAAAACTACAAATGAACCTACCATTTGACCCAGTTATACCACTCCTTGGCATATACCCAGAGAACTCATCCTATTGCAGAGACACTTGTACATCCATTTTTTTGCTGCTCTTTTCAGAATAGCTAAGGGATGGAAGCAACCTAAGTGTCCCTCAGTTGTCGAGTGGATAATGAAAATGTGGTTCATTTATACGATGGAGTTTTACTCAGCAGTAAAGAAAGATGAAATCATGAAATTTGCAGGTAAATGGATGGAACTAGAAACTGTTATACTAAGTGAAGTAACACAGACTCAGGAAAAAAATCAACATATTTTCTCCCTCTTATGTGGATCCTAGAACCAGACTCTGATAAATAAGTATGCAAACAGACATAACTACAGGAACCAGGATAATGGAAAGGAACCTAGGAGATAAAGGAAAAGAAAGAACCTGAGAGAGAAGAACAGTAGGAAACAGGCCTTAATAAGGGAGATATGGATAAAAATTGGGTTAGTTTAAGGGACGGGGGAGGGAAGGGTATACAAGGAACCTAGGGGATAAAGGAAAGAAGGAGCTCAAGAGAGGTAGGACCATAGGAGAAGGGTATTATTAGGGGAGAAAGGGGGGAAATGGGGGCACCTTAAGTCGGGAAACCATGATGGAGTGGTGAGACAATGCGAGAGATAAATAAAACCTAGCTAGTTTTAAAACCAGAGGGAACCATATTACTCCTATAACCTACTGACAAATTATACATAGCAGATCAAGAAATACATATCTAGGTAAGGTTTATCTGAGAACAATTGGTCTTTGCCCAAGATTTATCTACATGACACACAGTAATTAAAAGTACCAGACTGGTGGGACTAACCTTCTTGGAAGTTTAATGGACATACTTTGAAGCCTATAATAATTTGGTCAGAGGGACATAAAGGACAGTTTTTGCTCCTTGCCCTTCTAGGTCGACTAGTTCTGGGGGACTATGAGCATCTCTCAAAATGTCCTGTAATTGTGGTGGGTCACCTGTCCTCTTGATCAAGGAGGCCGAGGAGACCCCATGAGATGGACTTAAACCAGTGTCTAGTCTACAAAGAGGGTCAACACAGAGGAATCATTACCTCCATGCTTCCAAGCGAAGCTAGCCATGGTCAAGCAGGACCTTTGACTTATCTTCACATAGGTGGAACTGGTAAAAGAAAGGAGCCAGGGGCTCCTCCCAAGCCCATGTGACCCCTGAGGAACAGATCCTCAAACGACCTTAAGAGTAAAAACTTTTGACCAACTTTATAGTCTCAAACACCCAAAAGGAAAGTATAACCAAAGATTAAAGAGGATAATATAATTTTTTAAGAGTCCATATGTATAGCTAAAGGCTACATAACAAGAAACAATGCCAGATAGGAGATACCTTCCTTTGAGTTCTTGGTCAGAGGGGCCCAAGAGACTCCCAGACAGTAACCCAGCACAGAACTGGGAAAATGAACAGCAGACCCCAATCTTATCTAAAGGAATACTGACAATTGATTGTTGCTAGAAGAGGAACAGCTGACCTTCCTAAAACAAAGACCTCTATATAGGCTGACTAGATTCACCAGAAGGGCAAGTAGTGGGGAATGGCTCAGGGTGCCGACAACACAGCAGACAGTAGCAGGGATATCAGAGTCTAAGGGCTCTAGTTGGGGGAGGGAGGCTATGGGAGATGCCATCTGGGAAGTGGGTGTATAGTTGAATAAGATGGTTTGGGATGTTCTGTGCGATATACACACACACTAAAAAAATCAACAAAAATTTTAAAATTATTATATTTTAGGAGGAAGCATGGAAATTTATGTCATGTTAATTAGTAGAGGTGATAAACATTACCACTGAAATCTACCCAATGACTTTATAGACATACACAGGTGCCAAGGATCCAAGT